GCTGACAGAACCAAACCTTCCAGGAATGTCCAGTCCTTGTGGGGACTTATGCTGGGAGATGCCAAAGGGTTAACCCAGGGTGTGACAACAGCATGGACAACAGAAGAAACCTAAGTGGGGGGGAGAAGACTTAGACCCAGCAACTCCCCAGAGCAATGTTTTGGAGCCCAGGGCCAGCAGCTCACACCAGCCCTTTGATGAAGCTCGTGTCCAAGTGCACTATCAGCATGCGGAGAAAGGACATCTCCTTGCGTGTGTTCTCGAAGATAACGCGAGGGTCGTCGGACTGGCAGCGAAGGCAGTTGGGGGCCATCACCATGGCCAGATTATTTACATCCATCTTCGTCCTGCCCACGTTTGATGGCTGAGCAAAGATCTGCAGATAGTAAGAAGACATTCAGCTGGAGCAACGGCAAAGGGCAAGAAACTCCAAACACATGGCTCGGGAACAAGTCGGAGTAGAGCAGACACTGAGCCTGCCCTAAGAACGGTGCCCCAACAGCCACACATTCACCAGGGAAGAGCACTGTGCTCTGACACAGCTGAAAGCCCAGCAGTCTTGGCAGACAGAGGACCAGCCCCAGGCTCTACAAGATCAGGGTTTATTGCTTCCATAAGGGACAAGGCCCGCAGACCCCCCTCCACCAATCCCACCTTCAACACAGAATCACAGAATAATCAGAGCTGGAAGGGACCCTTGGGGATCATCTAGGCCAACTCTTGGCGCTGCACAGGACATCCCCAAGAATCCCACCATGTGCCTGAGAGCATTGTCCAAATGCCTCTTGAACTCTGTCAGGGTTGGTGCGGTGATAGCTGCCCTGGGGAGCTGTTCCAGTGCTCAAACAGCCTCCGGGCAAATAACCACTTTCTAACATTCAGCCTAACCTTCCCCTGATGCAACTTCAGGCCATTCCCTTGGGTCCTGTCACTGGTTGCCAGTGAGAAGAGGTCAGTGCTGCCCCTTCACTTCCTTCTGTAAGGAAGCTGTATACAGTGATGAGGTCCTAAGAGGTGCTGGGAGGTCCTAAAACCCTGCTGATGGCACAGCTGTCCCACTAACCATGCCCCATGTGCTCCAGGCTGCTGGCCAGCAGTGGGCACACAGGGCTGCAGGGACTGCCTACCTGCAGGAAGTGTATGAGGTAACACAGCACCAGTCTGTTGAGCTCTGGCAGAAGCTGCACCACAGCCACGGCAGCGTCAGGATTCTCGTAGTTGCTGATACACTCTTTGTAGAACTGCTGAGGTATCACAGGCTCCTCCAGCTCCCGGTACCACAGCTTGAGCAGAGAGGCTGGGCAGAAAGCAGGTGCATGAGAAGAGCTCTGGTCATCTCCTCAGTGAGACTCAAAGAAACAGAGGGCAGAGAAGGGAATCTGTGCTTGTGCTGCTTCACCTGATTTCAGTCTTGGCTCAGAAATGCTCAGCCAGCCAAACTGGTCAGTTAGTGGGAAACACTGGCTCCTACCTACTTGCTCCTCCAGGAAGCAGCACTGGGGCTGCCTAAAGGAGAGGACAATGAGACCTGAAGGACTCCCACTGCTCTGCCCAGCTTGCACAGCGCCACTGTGCTGAAGCCAGAGGTTCCTCCCCACCCCCAGTGGATTCCCTGTGGGCAGTGTTTGAAATGGCAGTGGAAAGGCACGGGATGAAATCGAAGACAGCATGTGTACATGTTCCCAAGCAGCAGCACACACACTGGGCTGCTCCTGTACCTGCCCCTCCACCACTGCACCACAGCTGAGACTGCAGCAACTCGCCTGCCACATTCCCATACCTGGGATGTTGGGGTCACTGAGACTGCTTGGGATTCTCCACTGATCCACCTGCAATTTCAGTGCATTGACTTCATCTATGTCACCAGGTACCCTGCAAACAGAGACACAGGTGCTTTCAGGAGAAGGGAGCAGGCACCAGTGGCAGCCCACAGCAGCAGCTCCTCAGAGAAGTGGGTGCCTGTTTTTACACACAGTCTCAAGGTGGCAGTAGAAGGAACACTTGTTTCCTTCCCACTAGCTCAGACATCAACTATCCCTGTCCCCAGGAGTGATTATTTTTTACAGCCAGGCCTCTCTGCAGCATGTTCAGACCAAAGATGAACAGCATCTCTGGCTATAAATATACCTAGACATTAGAAACTCTTACAAGGCAAAGTTGAGCCTTTTGCTAGCTACCTTAAATCAATTTTAGCTACTGAACGACTAACACAAATCTTAAAACAAAAACACATTAAAAAAACCAACCCAAACAGAAAACCAAATCCAAAGCAGAATCCCCTGCGTTCACCACAGATTGTGTCTCTCTCGACTCCTCATGCCTTGTGCACCACCAAAGCTGATGAGCTGCATTTGATGAGCTGCTCTGCCAGGACCCCAGAGCTCATCCCTCCCCCACACTGGCCAACCACCCACTGCTGAAGCTGAAAGAAGTTCACTGCCTTGCCTGGGGTCGAGCTGTCCATGCAGTTCAAGTCACACCTACGCTGTCCCCCCTGTGCCAGTGCATGCAAACAGGCTAACACTACTTCAAGAGGTGATTCCTGAACCTGGGAAAGGCTGAGTTTTGTCTGACCCATAGCAAAGTGCTATTCTCAGTGAAGAGGAAGCACATGGAGCTCAGTCTTGACTCCTTGGCTTCGACAACTGATATGCGGGTGACTCAAAAGTAACACAGTGCCCCAAAAGCTCACCTGAAAATGCCCTCGGTCTGTTCCCCTCCCAGGGCCAGGACCTGCTGCGAGAGCTGTGTCTGCACCCAGGGCAGCTTGTTCCCGGGGTACATGTCCTGCTGCCGCAGCATGATTTCCTCCAGGGAGCTGCCGAAGAGCGATGGCGTGAGGATGGCGTTCCTGGCATGTGTTATCTCTTCCACTGTGGGTTTGCGGAGGCCCTGAGGACAGAGGAGAGCTCAGTGGCACAGGCAGCCACACACAAACAGTGACCTGGGCATGGGGACAGAGTGACCAGGACAGAGAAGGCTGCCCATGCATGTGGTGACCTTGCTGGCCTCCTGGCACCATGGTTCTCATTCTGCAGCCTCCACCTCCCGAAATCAGGGGCAGCTTCACTCATCAGGCTCAAGAGAAGCAGAGGAGACTGCTTTGGAGCGTTTGGGCTGGTTTGGGAGGGATCAGGGGACTGCTCTGGCTGTAGCTCTATCTGCTGTGGGAGGCAGGATGAAGCCCAGTCCATCTCAGCCATGGGGAGGTCAGCAGAGGGCACCTGTACCCTGGCGGGGCACCAGCTGAATTCGTGGCCTCAGGACAGCTGAGAAACAGCCCTTTGGAGATAGGAATTCCAGGTATTTCCACCTCCAGGGAAAGCTTCGCTCTCAGAGGTGCTACAACTCTTTGAAAAGCAGGCACTGGTACCTGTTGTTCTTACAGACACCAGCTCTTGAAAGGGACTTTGAATCCCCTGTGGCAGTGTTTTGGAGAAGCACAGCACTGTCCCAGGGGTGACAGGCTGCCTGGCACAGTGGTCCTTGGCAGTGACCCCATGGCCAAGAGGGAGGTGCGACCAGGGGAAAGCTCCTGCCAAGCCCTTAAAGGTGCAGTAGCCAGGGCTGAAGTTGTGTGCAATGCATGTCCAGAGGTTTCCTGCTCCTGACAAGGATGCTGGGAGCCTTCACCCCTCCTGAGGTATTTCAGCTATTTGCTCACTGTACTGGAGTCCAGCTGGCAGGGAGGCTCCAGAGGGATTTGCAGAAATGAAAGATGACCAGATCTGGCTCGGGAACCTAGAACGGACAGGCTGAGGCTGCCTGCCAGCTTTCACAGCCCTGCACAGAACTGTGCAGAAGGAAGGGAGGACAAATTTCAGATAAGACAGAGCTCAGCAGCCTTCTCCCACACGTTCACGGGGGAGGCACTCTGAGCAAGTCTCCCCTGCTGACTCTATCTCGACTTCCCATCGCTGAATCAGTGGTGACCTCCCGAGTCACTGGACCAACTGCTCAGTGCCCCAGGCAGACCCTGGGCCCTGTGGCCAGGGCAGACACTCACCTTTTTGCCTCCAGTGACAGCTACTTTCTGGAGTTTCCGGTAGCAGTATTTGGCGTAGGTGCTAATGGGAAGACCTGGTGGGAAGGAAAAAAGAGAGGTCAGCCCACAGCACTCTGCACCCACCACACTGGAGCCCTTATCACAGAAACATCAAGTTGGAAGAGACTTCTAAGATCACCAAGCCCAACGTTAACCTGTCACTGCTGTAACCCCTAAACCCCAAACGATATCCTCCAGCACCAGATCCAGATGCCTCTTAAGCACCTCCAGGGATGGTGATTCCACCACCTCCTTGAGCAATTCCCTACTCCACTGCCTGAATACCCTAACAGGGAAAATATTTTTCCTAATACCTCCTCTGACTCTGCCCTGTCTCAACTCAAGGCCATTCCCTCTAGTCTTCCCCCTGCAGCCACAGCAGGAGAGACATCTCCAAGCCCCTGACAGAGAGCCCCAGCGTAGCAGCTCATACCAGTGTGAGCAGCTCCCCCAATGCACAGCCCATTCTGTGGGCAGGGCAACACTGCCAAAACCTGGCACTGAGTGCCTTGAAGCCTCCCAGCCCCATGGCAGGCAGCGTCAGCATGAGCCACTGCTTGGGCTTGGAGGGATTTATCTTCTGAGTCTGCACCTCCCAGCCCCACTCCTGCAGATCTCCACCTCTCACAGAGAAGCTTGCCCTGCCCTGACTCAATGCACGGTGCCCCTTTGGCATTCACAGCCTAGACACACACACAAGTCCCTGCCCAGTGGTGCAGCCAGGATTAGGTGGACACATGGACACACAGCCAGGTAATTACATCCTACGAGACCACAGACACGGAGCACACAGTCAGCCTCCTGCCAGGGAAGCTTTCAAAGTGTTTTAAACCAACTGTTTCTGATTCAAGAACTTGAGTTCCTTGGTTAGTGAGAGAGGAGCAGCAGCAAAGGTGTTAGGGGCCAGAGAGGCAGCACCAGCACCAGCAGTGAACTCAAGACACAAGGAGAGGTGTGAGGAGGTGGCAGGGTCTCATCATCCTAAAGATGAGAAGGCTTTCTTCCAAAGGCTTCCTCATGCTCCTGCCTGCAGCCTCCTCCAACCCCACCTGGTACCGTGAGGCTCAGGCATCTGCAGCACGAGGAAAATGGGACAGGCTGGGGCTCAGGAACTGCACCACAAAAGCTGCTGTCCTTCGCCAGAGCGGCTGCGCTTGGTTCAGTGAACTCTGAAGGCAAGCAGAGCCAGGATTCACAGAGCTAATCCCCCCGTGACACCAAGAGAAATGTTTGCACTGACAGAGCGCTGATTGCTGGGAGAGTTTTTCCAAAACCGTTGGCCTTTTGTTCTTGTTCAAGTAAAACCCAAACTGCTTGCTGAAAGCAGTGAACAGATCTGCCCTATTTGAATCCCTGCCAGGCCCAAAGCTTGCAGCAGAGTTCAAAATACTTGTGGCTTTGGAAATCTACATTCTGGTCAGATGCTGTGTGTTTCAGAACAGCCTCTCACACACCCTGCAGCTTAGGTAAACTGATCGGGGGCCTGGAGGTCCTCAAATCCTCTTAATGCAGAGGGACGACGAGCTCTTCCCAAGCAGAACAGTTTCCAAAGGTGGGAGATGTGCTCTCCCCCATTCTCTGCTCAGCCAGCAGACAAACCACAGCCCTTGGTGCCCCATGACAAAACAAGCCCCCCCTGCCCCCACCAACCTGCCTCACAGCTGGCACAGAGCCTCTCCCTACGGCTGGAGAGGAGGTACAACAGCATTCCCATCTCCCACTGGCAACGGCAAGGAAAGCCAGTTTGAAGAATTTCTCTCTTGGGAATATCTGAAGCAAAATATTCTCTGTATGCAAAAATCCTGCTAATCCCAGGCGTGATTTATATTGGGAATGTCTAAGGATTAAAGGAAACGAACGCGAGGAGCTGCCCTGTGATGCTTCACTATCCCAGGGTCCAGCTTCGGCCACACCCCGGAGCGAGGTGTCACCCTCCACACAGGGGATGGGAAAGCTGTGCCTCTGCAGCCCAGCAATTATGCAGGAGGCAGCACATTCAAAACTAATAATAGGAAATGGCTTTTTCACACTGTAATTAGACCATGAAACCCATAATCACCCCAAAAGCTTAACGAGGTTTGCAAAGGAACTGGTGCCTTGCAGAGCCTGCACGGCTGATGTGTGGGCAGCAGTTGGACATGTTTACTTGCAGCCTGTTCTGTACTTTCCCAAGAAGCTCCCCGGTCCTGGGAAAAGCCTAAAACCTACATCCTGCACTCTGCAGCAACGCCTCCTGCTCCCAGTGATGACCAAGCTGCAGCCTCTGACCCAAAGGGACCTGTTGGGGCCACATGTGAAGCTGACCAAGTTTGAACCGACTGAAAAACAAACTTGCCACATGCACAAGGGGCTGGAGGAGCTCCTGCCCACAGACCCGAATGGCCTGAAAAGCAACGGGAGCCCTAAGAAAAGGGGTGAGCTGGCACAGAGGAATGGCTTCTGTGTGGCCTCCCTGCTCTGGAGCAGACGCCGTTGCCCCTGACACGAGTGCTCCGGCTCCGTGGCACACGCAGAGCACGGTGGGCGACGGAGATGTGGAGAGGCCAGCAGGCATATGGGCAAGCAGAGAGGAACATGAGGGCGAGGAGCAGAATTTAGCTTTAGCCTCAGCTTTTCCAAACCAGCAACCTGACCCAACCATCTGCTGCTTTTAGAAGGCTCAGCTAGAGACCAGCTCCTGGCACTGAGCTCACTCCACACACACGGGCCAGGTACCCCCCCTGCACCCCAGCAGGGACAAGCAGCTTCATCTGCACCAGCTGGGAAGGGCTAATCCTGAAGGCAATTCCACTTCTGTGAGCACATCATGAATCTGAGAAATCCAAGCTGATCTGTTATTTCCTGTGGTACCACAGTAGCCCCAGGACCTCAGGAACAGAAGACTACTAACAGCCCACACAGTGAAAAATAGTTTTCAAAGGAAAATATTTTTCCATGTGCTGGCCTAGAAACACATGTGAAGAGCTTCTTAAAGAACCTCTCCTTTTATAACAAGTTAAAATCCAGGCAGGGCACATGCAGAACATACCTTCTGGAACAGACCTGAATGCTCTCCTGCCAAAAAATGTCTTAAAAAATGCAGCAAACAGCGTGGATCCAGGACATGTACTTTAGCACAGCAGAAGCTGTTGTCTCAGTTTTTTTCTGATCTACCATGGCCTCTTGGACCCCAGCCTGGCACAGCCAGAGTGGGCTCTCAGACCAGGACCTCATCTTGTTGTGCTCTTTAGCACAGGGGTAGGTGCCCTTGAGCAGCTCAGCTAGGCTTGGTACCAGTGGTGCTGCTCTCCTGGCTTAGACCTGCCCAGGCACCCCGATTTTATGGCACTGTTTTAGCTTGCCTTCCTCACACCACCTGCACCTTCTTGTGTGTCCCAATAATGCTTCTCCATCACCACTCCCTACGTAGGAAATGCCACGTTCATCAGCCACGTGAGCCAGCACCTATCACCAGGATAAGAAGCAGACACAGGATGGCTGAAAAAATGAGTATTCCCCTTCAAAAATCTCCTGGCTAACAGCAGGTGGGCAATGCCCTGGGGTAGTGCTGCACCTGGACCAAGAACCATCAACTGACAGACTTCCCTTCTTTGCATTTGTCCCATTTATTCCTGAACCTCTTTATGCTTCAAACCTGCAGGACACACTGCTTTGCCGACAATTTCATTCTGTGCCTCTCAGGCCTGTTACCAGCACCAAAACTAGGCAGCTTCCAGTTCTGCTGCTATGACAACAGCAAGAAATTTCCTTCTTACTTTCCCCAGGTGACCTGAAGTATCTTTCAGCCCATCCAGCTTCTCCCCTTTTCTGGGTCCAGCTCCTGTGCCACCTTCCCTGTGGCACTTAGAAGCCTCTGAGGGACTCTTCTTCTCCAGGCTAACCAACCCCAACTCCCTCAGCCCTTCCCCCTGTGCTCTAACCCTTTCCTGCCCTCGCTGCCCTTGGCTGGACTCGCTCCAGTGCCTCAATGGCCTTTTTGCAGGGAGTGCCCAAAGCTGAGCACAGCACTGAGCTGTGACCTCCCCAGTGCCCAGTCCAGGGGGATGAGCACTGCCCTGGTCCTGCTGCCACACTGTTCTTGAGCCAGGCCAAGATGCCCTGTGCACACTGCTGGCTCCCACTCAGCTGCTGCCATCAGTACTGCCAAGTCCTCCATTTGGTTTCTCACCACTTCCCAGCACTGCGTATGTTTCTGGACATTCATATATGAGCTGCAAAATGTCTTTTCCTCCTAAAAACAGCTCCAATGGGGCCTGATACTGCATGTGCAGCCAGGGACTCTCCCCCAGGTACAACACTTGACTTTTGGTGACAAAATTTTCTCTGCTGTTTGATTGTGCCATTACTGAGCCTTGGCAGATCCCTCTGCACCTTTCATTTTTACAATCCTGAATAATTCTGTATCAAAACTGACCTGCCAGCTCATGATTTGTCTCCTTGTATAAACTCAAAGCCCAGCTTCCATTCCTGCAGGATCAGCAGACAATCCTCCTTCTGAAAACACAGCATTTATTTCTACCTGTTATTCTTCTGCCTTTCAATAGGCTATTGATGCATGAAAAGATCTCACATCACCTTCATATTTCATTTACTCCCACAGAACTAGGCCAGAAGATGAAGATTGCAGAGGTAAGCATGGGAAACTTCAAAATTCATTCTTTGGATATATGTCAGATGGTAAATATTTACTCACCAGAGTGTTTACAAGCCTCTGCACCGAGGGGAGTGTGTGGGAAACCACTGCCTCAACTCCATTTTTCACTGACAGACTTACACAGATGCCTACATATCTACTGTTCTCTGCTAAATTGCCACTGCAACGTCCATAAGCATCTCAATATTTCAAAGCCACTGATGAACTTCTCACAGCAGCCTTGAAGCTTCAGGGAGCTTCATCCTACCCAGCCCTGACATGTCTGGCAAGCGGCGGAACAGTGTTTGAGGGAAAAGCCTGACCTTTCCAGCCAGCAGCAGACAGAACCTAGGGTGTCTCTGCAGGATTTCCCCTTACTTCAGGTGCAGTTCTGAGGTCAGGCCCCAGAAAAAGTCCTCAACATTACTAGACACGTGTGAAAAAGCTGGATTGAGTGAGCTGCTGGCCCTGCTGCCTCCTCCACTGCACCCCTGCAGAGAAGCTCCTTTATAGCAGTTTCATAGTATGCAAAGGTGTTGAAATGGACCTTAGAGATCATCCAGCCCCAACCCCTGCCCTGGGCAGGGACACCTCCCACCAGAACAGGTTGCTCAAGGCTCATCCAGCCTGGCCTTGAACACTGCCAGGGCTGGGGCAGCCACAGCCTCCCTGGGCAACCTGGGACAGTGTCTCACCACCCTCACAGCCAAAACTTCTGCCTAATATCTAATCTAAATTTAGCCCCTTCAGCATGTTGCTCTGAGGTCTCCACACAACCTTCTCTTCTCCAGGCTGAAAAGCCCCAACTCTCTCAGCCTGCCCTAATAGGGGAAAGTTCTCCAATCCTCTCATCAGCTTTGAGGACTTCTCGGGCCTTGATCCAACAAGCAGAGCAGACTGGGTGAATCCCCTCCCTCACCTGCTGCCACACTCCTGTGGATCCAGCCCAGGACTGGGTTGGTTTCTGGGCTGTGAGCTCACACTGCAGCTCATGGCGAGTTTTATCCTACAGCCTCCTGTGTGCCAGAGAGCAGACAGGGTCCAGCAAAGGATGAGAGCAAAGGGCCTCACGCTGCACCGGGCGACATCTAGATTGGATACAAGGGAAAATTTCTTCATTGCAACGGTAGTGCTGGAATTTCCATCCCTGGAAGTATTAAAAAGGACATGTAGATGTGGCACTAGGGGACATGGTTGAGTGGTGGCATAGGCAGTGCTCAGGGAACAACTGGACTCAATGACCTTAGAGGGTTTTTGCAACCTTAATGATTCTGTGATTCCATGAAAGAGAACAGTGTGCATGGCCTGTCACCAGAGCCCCAGCTGAGGTCACACAGGCAGAGCTGACTTTCAAGTGCTTCATTCTAGAAACTTTATAAAGTTATCCTGGCATGTCCTTTGTCATAGCATTTCATACATATGTATTTATAAATATATATGATAGAAGCAACACAGACTATTCTGAGTTGGATGGGTCCCACAGGGACCATCAAGTCCAGCTGCTGGTGTTTTATTTATTTTAAATTTATTGTTTATTTTTAGGTAAAAACTACCTCTACCTTCCTACACACATCTCCAGCAAACGCAGTAGAGACACACAATTGCACAGAACAGCCTGCTCAGCGCACAGGCAGCACACCCTGCACAGAGCAATCTCCAAGGAGCTGTGCCATGAAGATGGCTGAGTCCCACTGAGCATAAGAAAAATTAACTTTCAGAAAGGCTCAGAATGGGCTGAACTCTCCTGGGCTTGAACAGGAAGGAAAAACCCACATATCCCTCCCAGAAATAAAAACCCTTTGTGCAATTTCAGATCTCTTGCCCCCATCCCACCAGAGACAGAGAAGCAATGAACACTATTAGTGCAGGGATTGTGACCCAGTGACCTCCTCAGCCACCTCCCTGGCTTGCAACTGCCTCATGACACCACGAAGCCACCACAGGGAGCTGTGTCAGGTAGGGCTCAGGAATGCAGGAAGGTGGACTCAGCTCTCACAGATTAAAACAAAAGAGGCCACTTGCTATCAACTGCTGCCTTGATAGGAGTTCACAGGGTGACTCAAGCTTCCTGAAAGCAATATAAAAAAATACTGAATGGACTTTGTCTAGCAAGACTTTGGCCAGATAAGTGTTCTCCTGCAGCCAGCAGCTAAACTGAGCCTGGAGGAACACGTGAGCTCGCGTTCACTCAGCAGAGATGCCAGAGCAAGCCCTGGGCACAGAGCTCAGAAAGAGAAGGCAAGGTAAGGCAGTACTGGAGGGAACATGGTAGTGCCCTTAGCCAGGTACCAGCACCCTCCCTGAAGGGCCCCAGGTCAGGCAGTGGTTTACAAAATCCATGAATATGACAGAGACAGGTTCTTTTCAACATACTGGCTCATGGCTTTTAGCACCCGAACACGCTCTAGGAAGCTCTATGGCATGCACAGGCCAGCTGCATTACAGCCCCAGGTCTACATCCAAACTTTTCTCACACAACTGTGACTGAAAGGGTCCTCACCTTCCCACACGCAGCCCAGCTGCCACCCACACTGCTGATCCATGCTCTGGTCCAACCCTGCACACCAGCCACCCACTAGGTTAAGTTTCCAAGTCCAAGCCTATGCATTTAAAGAAATGGTGTGATTTTCAGCAAAGCTCAGCATCCCCACCTGCCTATGGGCAGAGCAAACCTCCCTCTCGGCTCTCCATGCATCCCCTTACCTTCCTCCTCTGTGTTTTGTTTCCTCTTTTTCCTGGATTTTGAGTTCTTTTTGTTTTTCAGATCCACAAGCTCCTTGATGCGCAGGGCAACTGAAAATTCCAAAGAGGCTCTGGATTAATAGTGTGGTATACTAAAATACCAAAGTCCAGAACTACCCTTAAATGTGGCAGCCAGCCTGTCTCCAGCATGAGGAGCTTTGCCTGGGAAAAGGTCCTGCACCACAGCCAGCTCCCAATGCGTCCAAGTGAGGGGCCCAGAACATCACTCAGCTTCTCGAAAGAGCTGAGAAGCTTACACCTGAATCAACTTGCTGCCTAACTACCAGCAGAAGGAACAATCCCCTGAAACAGCTCAGAGAACTCCTTGCTGCCTGCACTCTGGTGCTGGCAGGGGAATGGTTCACACCTGGGACTAGCTGGAGGGAATGGTTTTGAGGAGAAGTGAAAAGGACTGAGTATCTTCATAAAATCCAAACCAGTGTTGCACATCCTGCAGTTTAGTGAAGGAACCCCACATTCAAGCTTCAAGCACAAAGCCAGAAAGCGAAGGCTAGCACAGCAGTACTGCTTGGCCCTCGGCCCCACCTCTGCTTGGCACTCACCAGCAGGAGCAGAGCAGTGCTGGGGCAGAACTCCTGCACCCACCCTGGAGACCTGGGAGGGCTTCAAACGCAGGCTGAAACCCCCACAGATCAAGGGGAAATAGGTGCTCTGCTTTCTGGCCTGAGACTGGACAAGACACAGTGAGTGTTACTGAAACAGTGACACATCAGCCAGTAAATATTCTCCAGGCTGGCACTTGGCTTTTTTGTTTTTCTCCACAGGATGCTACAGCAATTTTATATTGGGGTAATAACTGAATATATGCTGGGCTGGTCCCCAAGACTTCTGAAAGACATAAATCCCATCTCTTCACACCAAAAGCCTGCAGGCTCCAGGATCCCTGACTGTGCCCAGCCAAGGCCTGCTCCCAGAGTTTGCAATGGCTCCCTTAAAGTTAGGCACTAACATTCATCCTTTTTTTTGCCTGCTTTAAGGAACTTAGAAATAGACCATGTCTTCAGAGAACCCAAAGAAACCCTGCCCTCAAAGGGTCACAATCAGTTCATTTCACTGCTGATGGATGAGGTGAGCAGAGATTGGGGCTCTTTTTTTCACCAAACACAAGAGAGACCTGCAGGGGGAGAAGCAGGCAGCAGCTTCATCCCACCAAGCAAGGATGAACTCGCCCAACACACTTCTCTCACTGACAGAACCCACAGCACTGGCTGTGGACTATGTGTAACTTTAAACCCCACACAACCCTGACTAAGTGGCACAACCCACCAAGGATGCTGCTGGGCACAGAAGAGGTGCATGAGGCACTTACTGTTCTCATCACTGTCAAGGTGGCGATAGATATAACCTTCCAGGTAGGACTGAAACCTGGGTGATGGGGAGAAAAAGGCCAGACTGATGGCCATCAGTTCCCAGCCCCACGCCAGGCTTCGGTAGCACATGTTATCTGTTGTCTGCCGGATCAGCTGTATGTAGAGCTCATCCCGTAACCCCTGCACGCTCCAGCACTTGGTGACGGTGACCAGCGCCACGTGATTGCGGTCCATGCGCGTCTGGCGATCCCCCATGTAGCTCTGCACCAGCTTGAACAGCTCACACGCTTCTTTTTTGATGGTGCGGTTGCTCGTGATGAGCATTGGCTTTTTGATGGAGCCCCCGTTCCAGGACAGCATGTTGGAGATGGAGATCCGTCGGCGGAAGATGCCCTGGGTGTGCATGTTGAGGTTCTTGGAAGCCCAGTCTGCCATGCTGCTCTGAGAGATTGGCTTCCGCAGGGTGTTGTAGGGGAAATGGCATCCCACGCAGCTGCCGCGCTGCCCGCTGCCCTCCTGCTTGGGCTCCAGCTCTATGGTCCCAGGCTGCAACGGAGAACAGACCTGTTACAAGCAGCTTAGGGGACTCGTACCCTGCTAGGAGAATGGTCTGCACTGAGACACGAAGCTACAGCAACTGCACAGTGCTGAGTGTCTACAAACACGACTTGGTGGCTGACATCTGCAGCTCTGCAAGGGCCTGGCTGCTGCAGCAACACACTGCTGCTGTCTCTAAGGGAAATGCTAGAACACAGAGCAACAGGGCTGAGCACCCAAGCTGTCTCAGAGTTCCCAGGGACAGCCCAGGTAGGAGCTGGGCTGACTCCCAGAGCTGCAGCACAGCTCTGTGGCATCAAGAACACACTGAGGAGCTGAGCATTTCCCCACTCTTCACTTCTCAGTTCCTGCGAAGCTACAGGAGCCCAGGGAGCAGGTGGGGACACCAGGAGGTAGCAGAGACTAGACAGTCACAGCCATAAGAGCACCATTTCCTTCTCACCGTTATCCACTGTGGCTCCTAAAGTCCCATACCTGGTTCTTACCTTCACTATTTTTTCAAGTTCCAACAAAACCCCCCAACAACCAACCTAACCAAACAAAACCAAATCAACACGGTCAGCAACCCTCAGAGCTGCTGAGGTTTGGGCAGCCTGTGCCTGGACAGCCTCTGCACTAGAGGTGTTGAAATCACCTATCTCCGTTCCACCGTGACCTGCCCAACGGAAAGACTGCTGCATCACACAAACAGGACAGAAGGAGCTGAGAGGCAGAGAGAAGGATGGGCACAGTTATTCTGATAGCAAGGCTGTCACCCAGGTAGGATAATCACAGAATCATCAAGGTTGGAAGAGACCTTTAAGGTCATGAAGTCCAACTGTTAACCAGCCACTCTACTGTAACCCCTAAACCATACCCTCTAGCACCAGATCTAGACACCTCTTAAATACTTCCAGGGATGGTGACTCCACCACCTCCCCGGGCAACTTATTCTAGGGCCTGCCAACCATGTTTTAGTTGGCGAAGGAGAGCAGCCACCTGTGCAGCTGCCATCCCCAGCAGTCAGACCTCACGTAGCCCCACAGAACCCCATGGTCCAACAGGCCCTGGGCCTCCTTGGCTGCAGGGAAGGTACCAGCTGTGGCTACAGACAGGTGCTTCTTCAAGTACTGCTGCACAGGACTCAGGGACATCTATGACAGGCTCCCTATCATGTTTTCCTCTAGGAAAAACCTACAGGATAGGCATAAACTTCCCCAGATTAAATCAGAATTGCTCACAGTACTGAGCTGTTTTTGCTTCTCAGAGAACTGGGGACAGCTGCTCTCACCCACAGCCTGCAGGGATGAAACTCACCTGGCTCCAGGGCCAAGTCCACTGATCACAGGTTCACAGAGATCAGCAGCAGACAGAGACCTTCCTTCTTCCCAGATTCTGTCGGCAGTGCTTACATGCAGCCCTTGCCATCCTTCTTCCCCAGCAATCGCTACTGATAACTACATAATTATAGAGCTTTGGTAGTACTGGTCCCAAGAAAATAGTGTGTAATGACTATTTGTGAGAAAAGACACTTATTTTGCCCATCCAGAATTCTCAGTTTTGGATGGAAGTGGCAGCCTGGGACATATATTGAACTCAAACACCCAACAAGCTGTTTTGGGAAACAGACTTTTTTTTTTTTTGACTTGAAACACCCACATACAGCAACCACAAGCTAATGAACCCACGTTTCACTCTGTTCCCCACGGACATCACCAGCAAGCAGGAAAAAGCCAAACAAGATGATTTTGATCTTTGGGGGTTTTTAAAGGAAGACAAAGACGCACATGCTGCAAATTCTGGGTTTACAGTGGAAAAAGTGAAATCAAACCTGTATTCTCCTTCTTTGCAGATCACCTTTCGCTTGTGTACCACACTCTATTCTGGTCCCTGTCTATAGTGAGCCCCAAAATACATGTTAGCTCTTAAAAGCTTAGAGCAAGTCAGTGCTTTCTTCCTACTACGGAGGAACTGCTGAACTCACAGCAGAGGCTCACGCAGTCCAACCCTTCCCTATCTTACCCCCAACATGTCCTTAAATGTGGATGATGGGATCAGTACATATCACATTCCACCTCTTACTGTCAGCCTGGGGCACAAACATTCTCCTCTTTTTCTACTTTGTTGTTTTCATGTTGTTTTTATGTTATGGCTGGAGTGTGGCACAGGTCAAAAGAGGTGATTCTCCCCCTCCGCTCTCCTCTTGTGGGACCCAACCTGGAATACTGCACACAGTTCTGGTGTCCTCAGCATAAGAAGGACACGGAACTGTTGGAGCAAGCCCAGAGGAGGCCACAAAGTTGCTCAGAGGACTGGAGCATCTCCCCTATGAGGACAGGCTGAGGGAGTTGGTGCAGTTTAGCCTGGAGAAGGTTGTGTGGAAACCTCAGAGCAACTTTTCAATATCTGAAAGGCCTACAAGCAGCTGGAGAGGGGCTCTGTGTTAGGAACTGCAGTGATAGGACAAGGAGTAACGAGTTAAAATTGAAGGAGGGAAAGGAAGGTTAGATATTAGGAAAATGTTTTTTGCTGTGAGGGTGGTGAGACCCTGGCACAGGTTGCCCAGGGAGGCTGTGGCTGCCCCAACCCTGGCAGTGTTCACAGCCAGGTTGGCTAAAACCTTGAGCAACCTGCTCTGGTGGGAGGTGTCCCTGCCCAGGGCAGGGGGCTGAGACTAGGTCCATTCCAGCCCCTAAAACTTCTATGATTCTATGATTATTTATCCCTTGAGTTACTCCTCTGTCTCCTCACCCTCTCCGAATTTATTTAACACACTAAGAATCCCTGCCTATAGTTCTCTGCCACCTCCATCAATCCACCTTCCCTACCAGGAGTTGGTTTTTCCCTTATCACCCTACCTGCTCCTTCACTATGTTCCTTCTGAGGAGCCACCTCCTCCTTGTAATCTCT